ATGGCAAAAGCTGCATTTAGCAGGAAGAAGAATCATTTTACCAGCCAATTGGACTTAACCTTTATGGGACGGGCCATTTAAATGCCCGCCATTGAGAGTAATAAAAATTGTAATCATGTTACTCAAAATGCTGTGATTTCTACAATTTTTGTGATAAACGAACGAAATAAACGCTGCTTTTATCTAGAAAGCATATAGAATCAGATATTGTAATTTACAGATTTTAGAATCTGTAAAAATTGTTCCCCCCCCCCAATTAAGAGCGTCTGTCCTCAAAACTTCAGTCAGTTTCTGCACAAAACGTTTCTGCACTATAAATGCCTGCTGCTGACATCATTCGTACTGGTACTGGCTTATCTTCAAAAGGGGAGGAAATGTTTATGCTCTTATAGCACTCCGACCTTTCTGCATACAGGAGTGAGGTCACGTCCCTCAGAGACACTGTCTGTGTATACACGTATCTACCACACAAGAAGTACTGTTATCCTTCTTATAAAGGCCCGCACATGGCCCCTTCTTCTACGTACTTTCAGTCTTATGTACCACATTCTAAATCGGTGACATTTATCAGCTGCCTATTAACTTCGGCTAATTCCATGCGAAATGGGTATGGGGCAAAGTTGAAATTGCGATGTTTTATAAGCGTTATGATTAGCGAAGTCAAATCGGCAACACTGGCTGACTACTAATACGAGAATGATGTTGCCTGTGTACGCTTCGCGTGGAAAACGGAGTTACATACGGACAAAGTGCATGAATTGCGACGACGGACTCTGCATTCAGTTACATGAAAAATTCAGTTAGATGATGCAGGAGGGAAGACAGTCTACTTACAAAGCTGGTGTCCAAAAATATTGTAGAAAGGCCCGCACATGGCCCCTTTCTTCTACGTGTTTTCAGTCTTATGTACCGCATTCTGAATCGTGTGATTTACGAGCGGCATCTCAATTTCGTCTTTTTCAATGCGAAAAGGGGCCATGGTGCATAGTTGAAATTGCGATGTTTTATAAGCGTAACGAATACAAGAGACCACTCGCCATCACTGACCTACTTCCTGCTAATACGAGACTGACTTTGCATGACTGCGCTTCGCGTGGAAAACAGAGTTAATTACGGACAAAGTGCATTCAGTGACATGCGACATTCAGTTAGATGATGCAGGAGGGAAGACAATCTACATATAAAGCTGGTGTCCAAAAATAATGTAAGTAGAACAGGAATTTCTATCTTAAAATTAGATTTTAAAACACTGTGCGCACGCGTGGACTGCGCATACCCATACGGTGTCTTTCGGCCACCTCGGCTTTACTTTAAAAGTCTCCATACGGTGTCCTTCGGCTCATAAAGGAACAAACGAATCACTGCAGCGGATTTCTAGGAATCCCCGCGGCAACTCAATCGAATTGTATCGCGTGGAGACTGGCATGCTCCGTTGCTTGGAAAATGAGTTTCTCAGTCTCTCCTCGAGTTGCGTAGCTGTTTCCTCAATGTGCTCTCATTTCCTAACATATGTTCAACTCTGACTGATAACACTTCTCGGAAATTGCGGTTGCGTTGCGGTTGCCAGTGTCCTTGGTGTGCGCCCGGCCTTTAGGTGCCGTACGTGATCCGTGGCTACTGTCTGTTCCCATATCCTTTGAGTTGACTTTGGTTTGCTTAGCACTAGCGATACTAGATTCAAATTTCTAAAAATGGTGTTGTCAGTTCACGTTGCATCAATACCTACTTTCCTTTCATGCCTAATTGTTTGGCTTTATTTTTCTGTCGCGGCATTAGACTCATCCCTTCCGCTCTGAAGGGCAGAGAAATATAACATAGAACGCGGCCGATGACTAAAAAACAGAAGAGCGACAAAAGTAAGTTTCGGTTGTGGTGAGTGTGAAGTTGGAAGTGCAGTGTAATTTGTCTGTAACTTGAAAGTTGAATAACCTAAGCAAAGTACAGATCTGTTAAAAGTAAGCCTCTATTTTAAGACAGTAGTGCGCGGTAGTGCGTCATATATACTGTGCAAGATGGTTCCCATACTTTAACGGCTTAATGGTACTGAGTGTTATGATGTAGGCATTTCTAGAGTTCGTCTTATCAAAGGAATTTAAATTAAGATGCTTAGCTCAATAGTTAAGTGTTCTCGTGGAACAAAATGCATTTCGCAGATGACTCGTTTTAGGCAATCAAGAAACTTCACGTCATTGTCTTGTGCGTCGCATGCGTTAATTAAATTTGTATCAGTAGACCAGTCGAACTGTGTGTATTCCGCCAGAGGTACGTTTATGGATGCGATTTCTTTATTGCAGTTATCATCACTTCATTCTGTATCCATGATTGCCAGTAACACGCTTGTTTCGTTACAGGTGCCTTAACAGCATACCAACAAAAATATAAGTGTCCACATACAGAATGTGTAAAATCATTTATGAACTTCACTAAATTTATAGTATTGTCACATCATGAACATCAGTCAGTATTTTTGTTCAGGACATCCTCATTTACTCGGAATATTGCCACAAATGGGAACAAACAGACTGAGAAGAGTAAGGTCGAGGAACCAAATACTGCAGAGGCTCAGAAGTTGTCATTATTGCAAAGGTTTAAACAAATGTATCGAGATTACTGGTATGTGTTAGTGCCTGTACATCTGATTACATCCCTTGGATGGTTTGCAGGATTCTACTATCTTGCAAAGAGGTATGAGATTAGTGAAGTAAAATACAGTAGGAAGGAGGAAACAAGTGAATTTAAGTGGATGGCTTACTTTCAGACATTATTGTCAATACATAATATTGTGTCAGTACTTGGTGCAGCAGTGTGGCAGAGATTTCATTGAGAAAATATACTTGCACTGCATAAATGCTCCCAGCACAACATTTGCTCTGTTGGTCTTCAGCTACCCATTGGACACTGGCTGCTCTCTGTTCCTTCTTTCAATGCCAACTGCTTAGGATGACATATTAATCCATATTACATAGTATACTGAGGATCACTTACTGATGCCAACAATGTACAAAAGAAGCTACGTGGATTTAGATTGAGAGAGGTTCGATTAGTTTAGTTTCATTTTTTTTATTTACTTTACATAACTTCTAGATATATTTAATTTAATGTAATTTCATAAAGTCATATACTAGACAGGAAAGACAAAGGTCACAGCCTGCAAAATGGGAGTTCATGATGAAAATTGTAGGTAAATATTACACAGCACAGTTCAGTACAAATAAACCAAAGAGGTGTGTACTTAAAATCTTGTACAATTTCTGATGTCCCCTATACATTGGTACGAACAGAAAATGCTGACATTGTTTTGAGGCCGTCAGCACCAAGTATGGGTATCTACTAGGGTGGTTTGCAGAACTGTGTAAAGGGGAAATGAATGACAAAAATTTAACAGTAAGTCCCATTTCCCCGTAGAAATGCAGGCCATTTTGAACCAATTAAATTAGAAGATACTCGAAATTGCCCAGGAATAATAACGATTTTAACTTGCACTTATTTCACCATAAAAATGTATGTGCTTCTGTGGTTTCTATGTCTGGTGCAACAATTTAGGTATAGGTGACGGGTTTTTAATATTTGATCTTATACGAGTATACCTCTGCATATTGACAAGTGATTTATTTTAATATTTAATTTTATATGGTTGCAAGATAAATCTAACTTGAAATATTCATTAAGCAAAACAGTAACTTTTACTAAATTAAGCCCTTTTGCAGTTTTTGTGTAGTTTTATGTGTATTTCCACAGATGATGGTCATTTAGTTGCAAATATATCATGGAACTGACTCCATCTGTAGAAATAAAGCTTGTGTGATGGTATACAGTGATCCATAGAAATGCCACTTGATTTCTTCGGCATCATTCGGCCTGCATGTCGCATTTGAGTGCTTCATCATAAACCTCTTCTATAGACCATTAAAAAAAATCAATTCATTAAAGAGGTGAAAAAAAAATAAAAATGCAAAGAAATATTTTTTTTATTTGAGTAGCAGATAAAAATATCAGATTGTGTAGCTCTTACAAAATGATGCAGTGATATATTTAATGCTTAATATGTTTCCTTACAGTGGAGTTGATGTTATTGCCTTGCTTGAGAGCATGAGTATCAGTGAGAAAGTCATCAATCCTCTCCGAGATTCAAGCGCTGGTTACATCGCTATAGCTTATGCTCTTTACAAGATTGCCACTCCAGTCCGTTACACTGTCACTTTAGGTATGTTATATCTGTTTTCAGGGCATGCGGTAGCATAGTTGGTTGAGACACTGTGCCACAAGCTGGAAGGTCACAGGTTCAATTCTTGATGAGATCAAATTTTTCAGTCGACATAATCTTTCCTTCCAGCCCTAGGGTTCATTCACTTTGTAAGAGAAACAAGTAACAGGAATCTTCCTGGGTATAAAGGGCAGCCTCATTGCCATATGTGAGTTGATCGTGATAGAAAATATGGGAACCTTGACATCTCACAACCCTATGGGCCTCCACATCCAGTTACTGGCTGTTGATAGTTTGAATGGACCAGTCTACTGCCTGAAGAATCTCTGGAACTGTTCTGAAGCAAATGCCATGAAGTGGTTCCTTCATCTAAGGAATCAAGTCGAAGTCACAGGGGCTTAAGTCTGGGGAGTATGGTGGATGGTACAGCACTTCCCAGGCCCATCAATCAAACAAATCAGCCGCAGCTTGCGCTGTATGCGGCTGAGCTTTGTCCTTCAAAATGATGGGTGGGTTCTGCAGAAAGTGTCACTGCTTCTTTCTCAAAGCTGGTCGCAGGTTGTGTTCCAAAAATGAACAGTAATACTGCGCATTGATGGTCCGCTGTCAGGGAACGATATGCGTTAGGATAACACCATCACAGTCGTACATGAGAATCACCATAACTTTCATATTGCTGGGGTTCTGACGAACTTTTGATTTTCTTGGTGATCTGTAATGATGCCATTCGTTCGGTTTGGCCCATGTCTCATCCAGCATAATCATATGGCATAAGAAAGCCTTTCCTTCGCGCTCCATGTGGTTACGAGCAGCGTCGTATGGTAGCCATTTCTGCATTTCTGTCAAATCATGTGGAACCCATTGTGATGCAGTTTTTCTCATGCCCAGGTGTTCCTTCAGAATGTGAAGCACTAATCCTGTCTCTTGGGCCAGCTCACGAATCGTATGACATCGTTCACTCACCAGTAACGCGGAAAGAGCATACACTTCTTCTTCACTGACACTAGGACGAGCTGGCCGACGCATGTCTGCCACATTTTGGCGTCCCTTGTTGAAGGCTTTTATGAAGAAATAATGTCAGGAAAGGTGGATGAATTAAGATACACTGTCCGTGTGTGGAACATAGTGCTTCCACGAGTCTTCCATTTATTAGAGAGCGGAAACGGATATAAAAAAAAACAATAAGCATAAATGTTGCCAACTTAGATGATGATATGATTACCAATCCAACATGACCTCCTAATCTCATCACAATCATAAGTCAACAATCAAGTAAAACATAATATAATTAACTATGCAATCAAATTCAACTTGCGACGAAAATGCTCAGTTTTTGGACCTGGCAGAGCTTTGGTCAACAAGTCTGCCATCAACTCTTCACTCTGAATATAATCAAGTTTCACTTTACTTTTCTTTATGGCTTCTCTGATAAAATGATGCTTTAACTCTATATGCTTAGTACGCTTACTGAATCGCCTATCCTTACTTAACATTTGGGCTGACTGATTATCATTAAAGATTACAGGTACTTTCTCTTCATCCATCAATTCTAGTACAAAGTTTGATAAGTAAATCCCTTCTTTAATACCTTCAACCAGTCCATTCAGTAAATTGTGTAAACGTACACACTCTTTAGCGGCATCATTCAGCCCCTTGTACTCAGCTTCAGTACTTGACAATGATAACGAATCTTGTTTCCTGCTTTCCCAAGAAATTACATTACCACCCAATTTGAAAACATATCCAGTATACGAGGTCTTGTCAAGAGGGTCATTACCATGAGCTGCATCAACATATCCACACAAATCTAACTTTGCTGTGGTATTCTTTTGGAACGTTAACTTAGTGTCAACAGTCCCTTTCAAGTATCGTAGTACTCTCTTGGCAGCTCGGACATGCACTTCTCCATAGCAAGTGTTAAAACGAGATAACAAACTTACAGCATGAATTATGTCAGGTCTGGTACAAACTCCGATGTACATGAGACATCCTACTAGACTCTGATACGGAAAACTAGTATCACATACACCCTTCTCCAATTGGGTCCCTGTAACTAGAGGAGTGCGCGCTGGTTTGCTGTCTTGCATGCTGAACTTATCTAGGACATTCCTAATATAGTTGCTCTGATCCAAAGTGATTACATTGTTCGATCTTTCAACTCTCATCCCTAGAATATTCTTAGCTGCACCAAGATTCTTCACTGGGAACTCATTACTTAGTGCCTTCCTAAGCTTCTGCATTTCTACAGTATTACTGTAAAAGACAAAGATGTCATCCACATAAATGGCTACTATCACAACACCTTTCTCACTGGACTTCGTATATACACAGGGTTCAAATTCACACTGTCTAAAGTCATATTTACACAGTTGAGAATGAAGTTGTTCATACCAAATTCGTGAAGATTGCTTAAGACCATACAATCCTGTTCTCAATTTGCATACTTTACCTTTTACATCCGTAGCATTTAGCCCATAAGGCGGAACCATATACACATTCTCCTTAAGAGGGCCATGCAGAAAGGCGGTTACAATGTCCCAGTGATCTATTTTCCAATCTAACTGAATAGCTAAAGAAAGCAAAAGTCTCAGTGTGGAGTACCTTACTACGGGAGAAAAGGTTTCTGTATAATTAAACCCATAAGTTTGTGTGAATCCTTTGGCTACTAATCGTGCCTTGTGTTTTGTAATTTTGCCTTCACTATCGTGTTTAATTTTAAACACCCACTTATTACCCACAGCCTTTTCTCCTGGAGGAAGGTTCACTAAGTCCCACGCTTTATTGCTTTTCAAAGCGTCAAGTTCTTCATTTATCGCTTCAATCCACTTGTCACTATCAGCACACTTCAAGGCTTGCTCAATGTCCTCAGGTTCCTGGTCACACTGCACTGCACTATACATGACATGATCAGGAAAAACTCTAGGTGTACGTTTACGTAATGGATACCTTCGGACTTGTGTGTCCTCACCAGCTTGGTCCTGACGGGATCCACCTTCTTCCACTAATGGGATGTCATGGTCCTCACTGTCTACGGTGGTAGTGCTTCTGCTGTCCTCAGAACCTGACTTATCTTGAACATTCGCCTCCTCCATATCATCTGGATCCTTTGAATGGAACTCACTAACTACGGGCAAAGGATCTGGGGTTGGCTTGCTGTCATCAACTAATTTACCTGGAAACCTATTCTCAAAGAAAACAACTGTTTTGGCAATTGTGAGATTACCCTTGTGGTCAGTGTCCAGCAATCTGTAGGCCTTGCTGCTCTCACTATATCCCACAAATATTTTCTTCTCACCCTTTGGATCCAGCTTCCTTCGCTTCTGTTTTGGGATGTGTGCATAAGCTTCACAGCCAAAAACCCTTAAATGGCTGAGACTTATCCTTTTCTGCCTCCAAAGTTCCTCAGGTATTTTTCCTGACACTGCCTTAGATGGACACCGGTTTCTTACATAGATTGCAGTGTTCACTGCTTCTGCCCAATATCGCTTGTGTAAACCAGCTCCTTCCAGTAAGGTTCTTGCGGTCTCGATTACAGTCCTGTTGGAGCGCTCTATTCTGCCATTTTGTTCAGGACAGAAAATGACTGTTCTTTCATGCTTTATTCCTCTCTCAGCTAGAAACTCATTCATCTGTTTATTACAGAACTCAGTTCCATTATCAGTACGAATGCACTTCAACTTCTCACCTGTTTCGATTTCTGCTCTCAGAGTGAATTCCTTGAAGTGTTTGAAGACGTCTGATTTTGTAGCGAGAAAATATCCAAACATTTTTCTCGAATAATCATCCTTCAAGAGTAGTACATACCTGGAACCACTGAATGATCTTTCTTCTAAAGGCCCACAGAGATCTGCATGAACCAATTCCAGTCTCTTACTTGATCTTGACTCACTCAATGGGAAAGGCTGTCTTGCCAGTTTGCCAGTTACACATGGGATACAATCCAACTTGTTCTCAGAATCAGGAAAATTCACTCCACAATCAATTTTTCTTAACTTCAACATATCAGCTGCATTAAGATGGACCAGACGTTGGTGCCATAAAGCTGGACTCTGTATGTTCGCCCTGTTTGCTTTAGGTTGGCTAATAGCATAGCACTTCAATTTGTCCTCAACTTCTAGTTCATAAATTCCACCCACGTCCTTGGCTGTACCAACTATTGTTCCTGTGACTCGACATCCTTTGCTGTTAAATATCTGACACCCTTTATCTGCAGAGAAAAACATACAGTATCCCTTTTTCACAGTGTTGCTCACAGACAAAAGATTTGCCGTGGCATCGGGCACATACAACACATTAGACAGCTCACGAGCATCGTCGGATCCTTTCAACATTATTGGTACATTACCTTTACCCTTTGATTCCATCACCTGATTATTTGCGACGGTGATTGTTATACTAGGAGTTTCCTGTGTGAACTCTGTCATGCACTTCTTGTCAGGGCTTACATGATTACTGCAGCAGCTGTCAATGTACCATTTTCCTACAATGGGTCTCTCACCTGCCATTGACATCATAGCACCATTCTTTGTCTTGAGTTTGCCCTTCTCTTTCCCAGTACCCCATTTTAAACCTTTCGATGGGCACTCCGAAGCTTTGTGACCGGTCTCATGACATTTGTAACACTTGAATTGGAATTTCTTCTCTCCTCCTTCTTTGTCTGCTCTATCTTCATGAGTCGAAGATTTGTGTTGTCTGAACTGTTGCCTTTTCTTGCCTTGTGTATACATGGCAATCTCTTCTTGATTCGGCTGCTCAGAAGTATTTCTTAAGTCATCTATCGCCAGCAGTTTTCCAACTAGTTCATCCACAGTCATTGGCTCTTTGAGGTTAAAAAGGCTCATTAGAAATGGCTCATAACTCACAGGCAGTCCACCGAGAAGTATCCATATTTTCCAGTCGTCACTTACTTTGACGTCGACATCCTCTAACTGATGTGATAAGTTCAAGACTTTAGTCACATAGTCATCCATCGACAAACACGTTTCTAACTTACAGTTCCAAAGACTCTGTTGTAGCCATAATTTCCTACCCCAGCCTTTATCTTCGTAGGCTTTCAGCTTCGTCCACGCTTGCTTTGCGGTAGTAGCTGTGCGGACTTTGGCAAAACAAATCGGTTCTAGCAGCATGCAGATGGAAGTACGAGCACGTCGATCCTTATCTGTTGTCACAGTTTCACCTACCTCAGTTCCGCTTGTTGTAACTGCACTCCATAGATTCCTGTGTTCTAGATAATTTTGTACTTGAAACTTCCAGTCCTGGTAGTTCACGACTCCCTTCAGCTTTTGGATCCCGGCAAGCAATGCACTTGCTCCTGCTTCGTCATTCAACATCGTTGGCAGTGTCCTCACAACACATAGGCAATAAGAAGTACGACCCACCAGCAGATTACAACTCTTTCTATTATACACACTCACAGTTCAAAACGTCCTGGGTCCATAACCTGATGAAATAATGTCAGGAAAGGTGGATGAATTAAGATACACTGTCCGTGTGTGGAACATAGTGCTTCCACGAGTCTTCCATTTATTAGAGAGCGGAAACGGATATATAAAAAAAACAATAAGCATAAATGTTGCCAACTTATGATGGTATGATTACCAATCCAACATTTTACCCACCTTGCCACTGTTCTGTAAGGCAATACAGATTCCCCGCAAGCCTCTTGAAGACCTTGATGACACTGTCGTGCTGTACGGCCTCTGGCACATTCAATCTTTATCCATCTCTGTTGTTCCTGTTTCGAAAACATCGTGACAACACTACATTAGACCGCCAGCTAACATGAGGCTCTGTTCTTCTCATCACTGCGCATGCATGTGATGTGGGAAGGGAGAGTCCATTTTGGTCTGAGGTAAGGTAGGTATGTAACGAATGTGTGGTATAAGCAACATTATTTGGTTCCGTTGCATGGTGTCTCTACAGCAGTGTTGCCACTATTAAAGTTCCAACCCTTGTATATACATATATCTTTTCATTATTAGTAGGGAATACCTTACAGTATGGTTACTGCTCATTGTCTCCTACCTCACAGAGGTTAATTTAGTATTTACAGTTTTTCTTGACAAATGTCGGTAGCTTACTACCAAGCTTACAACAAACATATTTCTAATATTTGGACAATTTTCATACATCTGGTGGTGTTATTAATGTCATTTATATTACATTTATATTGGTCTAATATGGAGTGTGCATAAACAAACATTTTGCAAGGAGTTTGATGGGACCTAATGGAGTTTCAAGTATATCATACACACTATACTACAAAGTTGTTCCATTGTTTGGATTGTATTATAAAAACAAAAAGGTGTTTTATTCCAATATCTTCATGTGATTATAAGGATATAAAACCAAGTAATAAAAGTCAGACATCTTGGGTAGGGGGAGCAGATATTGTTTGAGCTGACATGAGGAACTGGATTATAGTGGGCTTTCACATGTTCTGTGAGAACTCAGGTTATAATTTGTCAGATTTGAGGTGCTCACAGTGGTGACTGAAGAGTACTATCTGCCAAGATGTAACAGTGTGTAGTGCAGTAAAAGTCAACTGATGTTTTAAAATAACATATAGCCTCAATTTTCAGGGTTGAAGAGTAAACACACACAATATTTCAATTGCACAACAACCCACCGTAGTCATTTTAACTTTATAATTTTGTGTAAGAGTTTATAAATTAAGCCAGCACAAGTGTTGGCCAATATCCAGTATAATAAATTACAGCAGTTTCTTTAGGATTTGAGGTTGCCACAATGGTGGATATAAATAATTTTCCTGGGGAGTAAAGTGTGGCCGGTGCATAGGGCTAACAACCTTACCACCATCTTTTGAGCCAATTGTCTTGGTAGTGTGGGACCCTCAACATCTGCCTACCCTATGGGCCTTCATGGCCTGTTACAGGGATAGCTTTACTTTTTTATTTTTACAGTGGTGGTTATGATGAGTTCTGTCTCCTGGGATATAATGCTGTGTAACCCATTGAAAGTTGGCTAATGTTCCTTCAAAATATCGGTTGACTTTTAAAGGACCACGTGATATTATATCCTAGAAGGTAGAGCTCTTCAGTATCAGTTCTGTTAGAAGGAATTTAATGTAGCTTGACAATGACCAGTATGGTCAAAACATGTCGCTAAAATAAAATACTGTGTATACTTAATCACAATTGTGTACAACGGTTGTGTGGATGATATATGTACATACGAGGAAGGTAACATTATCATTGGGCTTAATTAAGCACCACACTATGAAGATGTATGGAGGAGTGGAAGTATTGGTCCACTGTTCCTAACCTTGGCACTAGATGGGAGTTATCAGCTTCATGGCCCTGCTGCTTTACTCTCAGGGAAACAGCCCTTTCAATACCCATTGTGTGGGCCCCAGAACTGGTCTGGATGACGTGGAGGAGAAAAATGTTACCCCTATTGGGACCCAAACTCAGACCCCTCAGCTGTCCAGCACATAGCCAGTAACTATACCAACTGTGCTGTCTCAGTTCACTCCTTTCAAACATATACCAGGCTAATACCTCAAAGATCAATTACAACACAAAACTTCACGATACAGCATTGAATGGCACTAGTGTTACTCCCACCCCATAAGTTCACAGGGTTGCCATGTTGGTATCATAATGTTCCGTTTTATGTAAATTCACTGACTGATTAAAATGTTAAGAGGAGGGTGGAGGCAGATGGAGACATGGGCTTTATAGTAACACAAACTTGTATTTTCTTAGTGAATAAGAAGGCAGACTACAAGTTAGATGCAATGTAGATAAAGCTGGTTCATACTACAATGTAGTGACAGGCTTTGTATAAAGGACTCTACAGAACAGACACCAATACCTATTTTCTGAAAGTGCGTAATTTCTTTGTCTACTTTCTTAATTTTGTAAGAAGAGGCAAATGATTAACATGATCATGTGTCTGCTTATAATAATTTTTGAACCAGTTGGTGGCTTTCTGTAAAACTTTATATGTTTTAAGTCCCTAATATTAGTAATATCAGCATGGTAGTAATATGACTTTCTGGGGTGGTCACAGTATAGCATCGTGAGGTGTTGTGGTAACATCTACAGTACTTTTTTTTTAAGGTGGTAAGACATCTGCATGGGCATGTACTGCATTCGCTCGCTTGGAAACTGGGATTGTGGGTTCAAATCCCACTCGGGGAATGGATGTTTAGTTTGTGTACAGGTAGAGGCCTTGCGATGAGCTGATCACCCGCCCAAAGAGTCCTGCCAAATGTGTGAGATCTAGAAAGACCGAAGTGAACGGAGAAGTTCATGGAGGTAGGCCTAGGCCCACTGGGGCTGTAGTGCCAAGGAAAAAAAGACATCTGCGTGAAATCTGTCATTAAATTGTATAATTAGTATCTTATAATTCTTCCTAGTCTCATCATAAAGATTTCAATATTGAAGGAATCATAACTTCTCAGAACTACTGAAGTAACTAAAATAACCAGAAAAAAGGAAAATGTAAAAAGAAAATACCCTTATGATGATTCTTGACCACTGTCACAAGTCCGTAGCATCAGGATATTACTGTTGAACGTGATTGTCTGTACAGGTGGCACTACAATATCAATCAATTATCTAAAGAAGTGGGGCTACATCAAACCAATTCCTCCTCGTGAGAAGCTGAAGGAAATGTACCAAGAGAAAAAGGCTACTCTGATACGTGAGACAGCAGAAGAGCTCAAACTGCAGCAGGAGAAGCTTAAGAAAACAAGTGAAAATATGATTAGAGGATATAGGGAACGTGCTGGAAAACCTGAGAAATGAGAATTGCAGTATAGTCTTTGTTACTGTACTGTTTAACATGGAGGTTTTAGGTCTTACAGGCTGCTGTCTGGCATGAATGCTGAAGACGACAATGTAGTTTACCCTACCTACACAATAAAGTCTTTTCTGAAACAGTGCTGTTAACATTTTCCTGGAATTATTGGATGTATGAGGTGTCTTGTGCTGTAATGTTAATATTGAACCCCTTTTATGTTCACCAAATACATTCTGACTGGTTCTCTCATGATCATTAAAATGTTTACAAATTCACAGTTTGAGTGCTGTATTTCAGTAGTCATAAAATCACTACAAGAGATGTAACAAGCATAAAATTCTGTTCTTTTACAAATATTTCTATATGGGGCACTTGGGAACTTGACCTTGAAGTTCAACATAAGTCCACATGATATATGTAGTTGTTTTGAACGTTAAGACTACAGACAATAACAAAGATTCCAGTTCCTTATTACTCAATTTGCAGTAAATGTGTCAGGGACTTTTCACTGAATGAAACTGGAATAGGTACGGAATGTTACCTAGATCCTATGTCATGTGTGTTGTAGAGATATGGGATTGTCTTGTGGGAGTGTAGGGGAAAATTCTCTCATATTTCTTACACTAGCCATCTAAAATTCACACACTTCATACTGTAAACTCATATAACAATCCTAGCTATATAATACTTCATCTGCTTTTTCTCCTTTTCAGTCACTGTATTTCCTCATGCTGCTTTTATAAACAGAATCAGAATTACAGTATAGTCGGCAAAAGAATATTTAGGTCAGTATTTTTATAATGGAATATAAACAATAGAAGTCGATGGTGCCGAGGGAAGTCATATATTAAGACTAAAGGCTCCCAACCACCAAATACGTAGAGTAGAGGGTTCTGCATGACTAGGCTCAAGAATTTTGGCTCTTACAAATGACTTAATTTTGAAGTAGAAACTGCTTTTCTATGAAAGAACATTTTAAACTGATATGTGAGAAACCGTAACCACTTTGGAGCCTATGTCAGTTGTGAGAATTCCAAGCTGATGGGCATTCAGAGTGAAGCTGCTACCTGGTTGTCTTATGGGAATTTTTGGGTTTCAGTTCATGTTATTTTTATAAAAATGATCTGGGAGGGCTGCTTAGCTAGCTTATGTAAACTCAAAAGCAGAACAGACTGACAACACTGACACTGACAGATTTTACCCTGTGAGAAGGGAGTTGTTAGTTGCAAGTGCTTCCATGTTTGTTTCGAGAAGTTTGTATTTTCATAAAATATTAATACCCCAACTACCTTATCAGTTCACAAAGAATAGAAATATTACTGCATTTCTGACTTTTAATAATATACAAAGTAACATGGATATACTTATTTCATGTATTAACTTTTATGATAATGCTAAAATTCTTTATCCTGGGAATAGTCTAATGTTGTAACCAGATTCAGTTCAATTTCCTGATTAATAAATGTGTCATTTTATATTATAAACAATGGAGCATGAGCCTGTAGCTGATGAAATATAGTTCTTTGTATACTTGTACCAGAAAAATGTATTCATTACTTCCATCTCTCTGCATCTCTGCAGTGCTTCCATTTGTCTTCCTACCGGAAAAAAAAAACCCTTAACAAAACCCTGGTCTTCACCGGTAGGCAGGTAACCTGGTTAAGTGAAAAAAAAGTTACTCATAGTCATGAAGACAGCCAGTATTTCCTTTTGTAGCATTGTGGACTATTCTTGTTATAAAAGTAGTATCACCTATTTGACATAATATATTTCCATCTACAATGCAACTTACTATTGTCCCCTTTCCTTCTCACAGTGGTTTGGCCATACATGGCTATCATCAGGTGTGTCTAATTCACTAAAATTGTTGCACTGTATGGAATGTCCAACTTCTTATATCACATGTGAATGCAATTCTCTTGAGGCTTAAAATAAACGGACATTAATTTAAATCAATAAAATCTAGTTAAAATTTTTGATATCTTGCTTGGGGGTGTCATCCATTCATCCAAACGACATGGTTTGAGGTCTCTTGTTTGGCTTTGTGTGCGCAGCAGCATGGGTATTTGTATGTTATTATGTAGTTCCCAAGTATGTTGGTGTAGTTATCATCTGCAATATGTAAAGAACATATTACTATTATTATTCATTTTGCTATATTTTGTGTTTTTCTGCATTAGTTTATTGTTCTCTGTATGTAGACCTTATGAGTGTTCAGCATACTTAATCCCACATTTATGGTGTAAGTGGAGGTGTGTGTGCTGCTATGTTGTGCAAAACTTGTGTAATGTATCAGAAAGTTCCTGGATTAGGTAAAAAAAAGAAATGCTGGCTGCTTCCACCTTCAAAATAGTCTCCTTGGGAATGTATACAGTGATTCCATTATTTTTCCCATGCTTCAGAAGAATCATGGAAGTCATTTTCCTTAATGCTGTAGAATATCACTTGCTATTTATTCCCTTTGGGTGTCAGACACTGTTTCAAGACGTCCCGTCAGTTTCATTTTCAGTTTGAGAAACAAAGCAAAATCACAGAGGGCTAAGTCTGGCAAGTAGGGAGGATGGGAAACTTGTTGTTGGTCACAAACTCTGTGGTGTTCAGGGACATGCTGGGTGGGCACATTGCCGTGATAGAGCCAGTTGTGGTTGTGCCAAATTTTCTGTTAAGGCTGATTTCGCACCGGACCCGTCTGAGCTAGTCACATCCAGTCGCGTTGGACTCCTGTTGACTCATCTGACTGGCTTCACATAGCAACACAAGAAAATGTCGTAATCTCTTTCACACTGCACGCGTGTTGCCAGTCTTCGTGCGTCTCGCTTATAAGTCACACGGGCTTTAATCAGTTTCATTTGTAACATATTGTTGTAATATGGATGTCTAGAAACTGATAATTCTAGTGAGAAGTAGACGTGAAATATATGACACAAAGGACCCAAATCATCGAAATAAAGACTACATTTCTAGTGTTTGGAGAAGCATAGCAGAAGAATTACAAACAAAACATTTTCTTTCGCCTTCTTTCCCTCCTCCTCTGCAATCTTCTAAGTATAATAAACGCAATCATTTCCATGTCCATCTGGCCAGGAGAAAGAATGATCACTGACTGACAAAGACGTATTCAGTATGAAACCTAATGGCTGGACTGGACTCATTCAGTGTGAAGGGAGCCTGAGATCTCCTGGCAAACTCCATAACTGATCCCAATGGTGTCTGCAAGCTCATGGATTGTTCGGCGACAGTCTTCATGGATGAGTTTTCAAATTTTTTCAATATTTTCTGTTGTTTTGCTGGTGCTTGGTCACCCTGAACATTCATCATCAACTGACACTCAGCCAGCCTTGAAACATTAATGCCATTCAAAAACCGCTGTCCGGTTTCAAGAATGTTCTTCATAAGCCTCACGAAGCATTTCAAGGGTTTCAGTAGTGGATTTACCGAGCGTCAAGCAAAACTTAAAGGAAACACGTTGCTCAGTTTTGCTATCCGTCACAGACAAAACGAAACACGAAGTCAAAAAAGCACTCATATAAAGACAATGCATGTGCACAGTGCAGTGTTACATGGCAAGACTGATGCAATAGGCTTGCGGAAGTATGACCTTGGCCTCCCCTCCCATCTTCTTTTACCAGGCAGTTACAACAATAACAGTCAATCATCACAGTAGGTAGTATGGGCATGCCATACATTTGTCATTTCTTACAACATGTTTTATTCTTATTGTAGAGACCAGATATCCTAATATCAATTTCAAAAGCATCACATACAAGACACAACAGTTCTCCCAAATACAACATAAACATTTCCAATTAATATCAAATCTCAATACTTGTGTAAAACTCGTGTAATATCTCAAATGTGGGTTTATGTGTAATTCATATGTACATTATCTTTACTGATTTTATAAATGTGATACCTTTCCAAGGTACTCAAATGTTTTCCCTTCCCGTTATAACGTCCATGATATCTGCTATAGTTCAGTATATGGTTTGAATATCCAGGGTTACAGTTATTGCTTCTGATGTCATGAATATTATATCTGACATTAAATGTTTCAATATCACATATATAAAATCAATAAATGCCCAAAAAAGTCTCACAATAGAAATGAAAAGGAAGTATATAAAAAAAAATTCTTACTTCAGGTTACCAGAATGCTTTTCTAATATTGTGTGTGAAATATATCAGCAACTTCCAGCAAGGATATTTGTAGGTGAAATTGGAATCTTAATCATTCAGTGCACCTATTATTGACGGAGCCCTAGTACAGGATTCTCTAAAACATTAAACATTAGTATCATATGGCACTTAAAAGGAACTTTTATAAAAATTCATAATACAAGGTTGAACAAACAAGTTTCAAGGCTCATTTTTAATTTTGTGCTGGGTGATCTGACAATACTCTTACTTTGAATGTCAGATGATGCAACAAGAAAAAGCTCACGTGGAAAGTTAGGATAAATTATATTCCATATTGTAAGATTTGAGGGTTTTACGGCGGTGAATATTAAGAAAGCAGTCTTCTGGGATTTGGCACTGTGTATATGTGGTGTTAACCGACGTTTCGGAGGAACGTATCGCCTTCATCTTCAGGGTAGAAGAAAAAATATAAGAAATCTGAAGATGGTGGCGATATGTTCCTCCGAAACGTCGGTTAACACCACGTATACACGGTGCCAAATCCCAGAAGACTGCTTTCTTTATATTCCATATTCATTGAAGAGTAGCTTGTTAGAACATTGTGTGTAGTCAACTTTGTCCAGACGTGATAATCAAGCGTATGATGAAACAGCATGAATGTGAAAGTTTGTATTAAACTGCATAAATAGCCAACTAAAACGTTAGACATGTTAAAAACAGTTTATGGTGAATCGATCATGAACAACAGTAATGTTTTTAAGTGCCACAAACATTTCAGAGAAGGCAGAGATGTGAACATCAGTGAAAGGCAAGGTATTTTGGTAATGAAGTGAACGGAAGCAAATGTTGCAGAAATCAGTGACACTGTGCAATCTGACCACTGGTTAACTTGTAGGATGATAAGTGATGAGTTTAATATGAGCAAAGAGGCTATTAGGAAGATTTTAGTACGGGATCTAGGCATGAGAAAGAAGCGAAACTTGACAGAGGAACAAAAGGACAGACATCTTTGTGCGCCTGACTTTCCAGAACAGCTTGAAGAAAATTTTTTGGATTATGTCATCAATCTAGTGATGGAACATGGTGTTATCAATACTGTCATGATTTAGGGTGATTATAGATGGGGTATGGATTGGTGATTGGATTTTTTGACCACTTAAAACTATAAGTATTTACAGGGTTATTGCTGATCTTCACACTTAATCACTAGCACACACTGAGTCTTCTCAATCTTCACTAGTTTTATCCTAGCAGTGGACTTTTGACACAGTAAATATAACAGTCTTCTCTTCACAGCCGGACTTTCAACTAACTGGATCACCCCAATTTCTTCCTTATAATCCCTTTGCATAGACTGAGAAGAAAACACCATTTCCAACAGCAACTCTAGGCTATTCATCCTGAATGGCCTCACCTTCCTCCCTGCATCTCAGTTTTCATGGTGTTTACAACTTCTCTCCTTGCTCCTTCCTTAAGGCCACTCATCCAGCACGGTTCCCTGATAAGGTGCAAGCCAATCGAGGTGTCCGAGGGGAAGTCATCAAATTTGAATTATCACCCAGAAGAAACAGAGGCACAGGTGCAAGAAATTTTATGTGAGTTAGTCCTTCTCTACATATACCCCCTGCAAGGCTACACATTTCCTCCAATGCATTGGCTGCTGGATACCTTGATCATAGATGGTCTCATTTTGACTGTTTAGGAAGTCCTTCCCTGCAGAAATAACGTCAATGTCATCTTGGAATCGCTTACCACGAAGTGGCTTCTTTAGCCATGGAAAGAGGAAGAAGTTGCTCAGTGCCAGGTCTAGTGAATATGGTGGATGGGGGAGAATTTCATATCCCAGGGTTGTGAACCACATATTAAAAAATCCAACCCACTGTCAAAGTAATTAGTTTAAGGATGTTTATGTGTTTATCTGAGGGGGAGCAAAGGGAAGTTGTATACTACTCTGTCCAAAAAGTATCCGACCTTGGGCCAGGAAAAAAAAGTTCTGTATCTGGGTGGTTACAATACCTAATTGCCTTCAAGGTAGGCCCCTTGTGACTCCACACACTTAGCCCAGCGGTCCTTCCATTGCTGGAAGCAATTCTGGAAGGCTTCTTTTGGAATGGTGTGCAGCTGGCCCATCGCGTTCTGTATGATTTCCTCGCAGCTGTAAAAACGGCAGCCTTTTAGCGGTGTCTCCAATATTGGGAACAGCCAGAAATCACAAGGAGCCATGTCAGGAGAGTAGGGAGCCTGGTCAACCTGTGGAATGCTGTGCTTGGCCAGGAAACCCTGGATCAGGTGTGATGAATGAGCTGGGGCGTTTTTGTGATGCAGCTGCCAGTTGCGTGCATCCCACAGTTCTGGTCTCTTGCACTGAACTGCATCATGAAGATGGCGGAAGACTTCTT